CCCCCCCCCCCCCCCCCCTGAGTCCTCGGGTCTAAACCCCCCAACATCCATCTCCAAAGCTCTGTGCCCCCCAAAAAACCGGAGAAAAACGTCCAAACCCGACAGACCCTAAACCCAAAGCCCATCCCCGACCCACCCAAGCCCAAACTAAACGTCAAACTCTAAACCCCAATCTAGAGGCCTTACTAATTAGAATAAAGTTTTGGGGTAGTATTATACTATAACTATAAATAAGGAACCCCCGAAAATAGTATAGGCAATTACCAAGGCCCCTATATTAAACCCCCGAAGCCGTAAGCTCTAACATCCGGAAGCCCTGAACCCCAATCCCGACGATCGACTAGAAGCTCTTATGATCCCCTTGTTTAGGGTTTAGGGTTTAGGAAGTTTAGGAGCCCAACCATAAATAAACCCTAAACCCTAAAACTCTAAACCCTGACACCCCAAAGCTCTAAACCCTAAACCCTCAACAGGAACTTGAAAATGTGCCGGCCTGCAGCACGCAGGGCATCTAAGCCTAAGGCTTCACCTGCGCAAGGGCTTAGGGTTTAGGGGGTTTGGGGGCTTAGGGGTTTAGGAGTTTAGGGTTTAAGGGTTAGAAGTTTAGGGTTTGGGGTTTAGGAGTTTAGGCTTTAGGGCTGAAGGTTTAAGCTGTTTTGTGCGTAAGGTTTTAGGGTTTAAGACATAACAAGGTTCAAGGCTCAGGGCTTGGACTTGTGCCTAAGGTTTTCTAGGCTTGTGGGGTTTAAGGGCTTGGTGGCTTTGGGATTAAAGTTTTGGGGGCATTGCGTGCTCGAGGCTGAGGGTTTGAGAGAGGTTTTGGCCTGAATCTCTGGGCCCAGAACTGAGGGTTTTGGTCAAGGAGCTTAAAGTAAGTTACCATAATAGAGGATCTGTAGTAATTCAAGATGCCATAACAGGGATCTATGTAGTTTAAGGTACCATACAAGGGATCGTATGTAGTTTAAGATACCAAAATCGGGATCTAGAGTAATTCATATGATACTAAAGTATGGACACAATACGGATCTTATCTGCTAGTAGTAGCTTAAAACACCATAATAGAGGGATCTATCTTGCAGTCCTTAGTCTGGTATCCTAACTTAAGTTCCGTAACGAGAGCCGAGATTCTTATTTGCGACCCTGCCCCCATTCCGAAACACTGCACGATCCCAAACCCGCTACGTCTATCATTTTAACAGTACTTAGTATGATTTCGTTTCATCGTGCCCTCAACAGGTAGGTATTTTTTTCAGGCGGACCCTTCACGCTTTATTCCGAACTCACAAGTCCGAACATACGTTTGCCGGGCCAGGCAACTCAGCAATTATGGGAGACTTCATAGTTAGACTAATGGGGCTCTGGGCTATCAAATACTATAACTATAAGGACTACAAAGGAATATTATTGCAAACTATTCCGAGCTACCTCGGGAATAACCGGATTCCGCCACCGCGTGCTCCCACCAGTCAGCCAGCCTTGCCCCAACCCAAACCGGGGACAAACACCTTCGACTCGAGCTTTAATGCTAATCGCTAGTGATTTTCTGCTGATCCCTAGCGTTTAGGTTTTGAGGGTCTAGGGTCTAAGCCTTCTACACTACTGCTACTACTACTACTACTACTACTACTACTACTACTACTACGAGTCACTAGTCGTTCAGGCCCGTATATCCTACTCATAATATTCGGGCCTTTGAACATTTTCTCTGCCGGACGGTTGGAGGTCTTCACGAAGAAGTCGCCCTTTGGCGCGGCGGGAAGGGCAGCTTTCGGGTGGGGGTGGGTTGCATGAGGCCGCTGCGACTGGGACTTTGTCAACACATCACGAAACTTTGAATGTAAACTCTTTCAAGTTTGCAACTATGTATACATTATGCATTTTAGTACTCATAGCCATACTTCTGGCTACTTCTCCCGGCGCTCGACACCCGAAACCCCAAAATCCATGATCCTTCAGACAAACCCCGGACCTTCCCTCCGCCGGTGCCGGAAACCGCGATCTCCGAAACACCGGCCTATTTAAAGGAAACTGCAGGTGGGGAGTTTAGGGTATATATGGCTTCAATAAGGCTTCCATAAGGGATATAGACCTTCTATAAGGCTCCTATAACGGTAACTACCCACCTGAAAATGTCCTAGACCTGTCAACCATCACACCGCATAACAGAGGCCCCCTTAAAGACATGAGAACAGGGCTTTGGTGCATAGATGGGGTATAGCAGACTTAGTTTCAAATCGTAAACCCTACCCTAAACCCTAAACCCTAAAACCCTAAAGCCCTAAAGAACTAAACCCTACAACCCTAAACCCTAAACCCTAAACCCTAAAACCCTAAAACCCTAAAGCCCTAAAGCCCTAAACCCTAAACCCCAAAACCCCTAAACCCAAACCCCCTAAACCCAAAACCCACAACCCCACAACCCCACAACCCCAAAACCCCAAACCCCAAAACCCCAAAACCCCTAAACCCCACAACCCAAAACACCTAAGCCCAAAACCCCAAAAACCCACAACCCAAAAACCCTAAACCCAAGACCCTTAAACCCCAAAACTCAAAAACCCAAAACCCCAAAAACCCCAAACCCCAAAATCCCCAAAACCCCTAAACCCTAAGACCCTATAGATCCCTTTAAAGGAACCATTATAGATCCCGTTACAGGAACCCAAGACCCCTAAACCCAAGCCTTGTCCGTCTCCAAGGTCTGGAAGGAAGCCCAGCTGCTGCCTTGCACCGCGGCACGGGTTGTATGGGGTGATTGGGTTCAGGGTTTAGGGTTTAGGGTTTAGGGTTTAGGGGCATATCCGCTAAGAGAGGCAGCCTCTTCTTGGGGTGGCTCGGATGTGAGATGCTTTACTGCCAGGCTTCATGCACCTCTATGTCCGAGACATGCTATGGATTTCAAGGGTTGAGGGTTTAGGGTTGAAGATGTCCATGTTCCGGGGAAGGGGGTGTTGTACCCGTCCTCTGTCTCATGCACGCCCGGCAGCTGGATGAAATGCTTTCAAGTAAGCTGCCGAGGTTTTTGCTTAGAGGGGCCTTAATAATTATAATAGGGTTTTTGGGCCCATTATCCTATAAGTATAATAGGTACCCCCCCCCCCCCAAACAAAAAAAAAGTATAATAGCTAACCCCCCAAAAAATAGTATGGCTTTGAGTTTGCGCCGCAGCATTCCTTTGGTTTTGAGAAGATGACTGGCACTCGCCTGCCGTTAGGTCTTACAAGGGTCGTGGCGAGGCCTAAACTCTAATGTAGGGGCCTGAATAGTTTCAATGGGGGTCTTGGGGATTCCTTGTAATAACTATAGTATGATCTACCCCCAAAACCTATTATAATTATAAAGGCGCCTATATTAAACCCATCAAGCCTCGGCCCTAAATTTTTCAGCTCCAAGCCACCAAACCTAAAGACTCAACCCTGAAGCCTGAATCCCCAAATCCCGGAACTCTAAGCCACGA